GTTTTCAATAAAGCAGTGGATAATGTTCAATGTGGTATAAAAATGAATGGCGTCAATATCATTAATTTGAGATATGCGGATGACACAGTGTTAATTGTAAGCAATTACGAAGAACTTTACGCCAAGTTGTTCTGCATCAGATGGGAAAAGTTACGGAAGTCGTCAAAACAGTTAAAAATCGCAAACTTGAATATTTTGGCCATGTTATGCGCCACCCAGAGAGATATAATATACTCCATTTAATAATACAAGGCAAGGTAGACGGAAGAAGAGGGCCAGGTTGAAGAAGAGCTTAGAAACCTGAGAGATTGGTTTAACAGATACTCTGTATCTCTTTCCCAAGCTGCCGTCAACAAAATTACTATAGCCAATTTGATAGGCAACGCTCGATAATCGAGCTCGGCACATGAAGAAGATAAAATAGGAGATGTTCAGAAATGATTTTAGCAGGAACTTTGTAGTTATATGAAAGTTAAAGAAATTAATGCAGGAAAATATATAACATGTTATAACGAAATTGTGGGAACTACATTTATAGAAAAATACATCCAACCAGTTATTACCAGAGAACAGTTCATTATATTTTTCCATTTCAGATGAAACTTATTGCTAATATCTTAAGTACCCTAAGGCATGTATATCTTTGCCAATAATAATAAGATTTTGTTAAATTCGGACCTTCTACAGTGAATAGTTCTACAGAAATGTTGATATTATTGAAAATCTTTTTTCTTTCCTTTTTTTATATATTGATCATTACATCAAATCTTAAATGTAATTTTTTAGCTATATTGATTTATCTAGCACTGGATGAAAATTATTGATCTTCCTTGTCAACTCAAATTTTGTATTTTTCTACGTAGTATATCCCAAAGTCTAAGAATATTTTTTTCCAGATATAATGATCATTATTGAAGTCAAAGTTAAAGGTATGTATATTTAATTTAATCATTTAGTGCAATATTTTTCCGAAATAGTTTCTGATTAAGGAGCAGTATTTCACTAATTGCATTTTTTTGTATTTCCGTCAAACTAATCAAGAATTCATTACAAGATCGTTAGATGTTAAAACATTCTCACAAGCATTCCAAGAGGTCATTTTCGCGATAAGACATCCTGTCAAACGTATCATATGGTAGTGACGCGTCACTTAGGAAAAATCGTAAGTATAAAATATGTATAATCAAATGTTGAGCGATATATTCAATGAATATGCACTACGCAACTTACAACTATTTGCAAAGTAAGCAGTATAGTAAATGTTTGTTGTATTATTTAATTTACAGCTGATCGATGGTGATTAGTATGTAAAACTCAAAGAAACTAGGTTAAAATCGTGTCGTCTATTTGTTATATTATGTATATTATAGTCAAAATAAAAGGTTTTTTTATTTTTCAAATCCAAAATGAATTGAATGAACCAATATAAAATGGGCGCTCTCGAAATATACTTTTAATTTTGAAATATCTTTGTTTCGATTTTGAATTATCTTTCAATTGTCATGATATAAGTAAACAAAAAGAAATAGCTGTGAGAAATATGTGCACATACAAATATAAAAAATATAAAATCTCTTACAATATGTCTAACAGGAGTTGAGTCGAACAGTTTATCTCTTTCAATCGAATGGCAGAACAGAACTCTTATCAAGTAATGAAGAAAAAACTTCTTTAAACTAAAAGCGGAAAAATATTTACTTATGAAACTTATAAACCTACAAAACTAAACGAGGTCTCAAAGAGAGGTCATTAAACAGTATAGTTAACAATAACATTAAATAGTTATAAAATGGTATTTGAGCAAGGACATTATGTATTTTATATTTTTTAGATATGCTAGATTTTATAGCTGTTATGCTCTACATACGTGAATACATTAAAACACGAAAGACGATTCAAGCATTATGAAAGCAAAAAAAATATTGATACGAATTGATCAACTAATATTGAATAGAAAAGAAATTAGATTTGATTTCACGTATAGTGCCCCTACTATTCGCTTATACGTATTTCGTCCTAGCAGGACTCATCAGAGCGGCTGGGATAGACTTTATTAAGAAAGGTTAAGAAACCTAGAAGGTTAGATTAGATATGTTAAGAAACCAGTTCACGAAAGGTTCTTGCCTTGATGAATTGATATGTCGTGGAATTTACCATGTAGGTCCATTCATCGCCTGTTTGCTTTAAAAATTGTAGAAGGCACATATTTAGGCAATCATCTGAATTTTGGTTTCGAATACTTAGAAATCTTCGGATTTCTACTTTTTGTTTTTAATATTGAATACTCAATTTAGTTTTAGTTCACTTTCTTTGCTATTTTGCCGCTCAATTATTGCATGTATTCGAGATTCAACATTTTTTAAACTTAATATTGGCTTAAGTATTTAGCTTTAGGATAAAATTCTATTCTGAAAGCACGGTATGTCCTTAGGGATCTTGAGCTCCTATTCTCAAAATCTACATTCTGTTTTCTCAATAAGTTTTATAGCTAATAAATACCTCTCAGTGGCAATGTCTGGTGACTCATTTTTATTATACATAGCCTAGTTTGATTTACTAGTATTTAATGTATGATGTTAGTTAGTAGTTGAAAATGTTAAAAGAAAATTAAGCAAAAGCTAAAACGGGAAAATATCAATTTTACGTATCGACTTTGGAAGGCAATGGGAAAATAGAAGGAGTACATGCAATATATGTCATAAACGAATAGAACGAATTATAGTTGAAGGCAATGTAGCAAGTAGAAGATCCAGAGAAAGATCTCCAACACAATGGTTGGACCAAATAAAGGACATGACACAAACAGGAAAGAGACAATTGGTCAGCAATATTCAAACGAATTACATGAGCCACTGCATCTTTACGAAGGAAAAAAGACAGAGAAGGACGTGCAACGCTGACATCGGAATCACCAAATAAGTGAATCACTAAGTGTAAATTTACTGGAAGAAAAGGTAATGAGAGGCAAAGAATACTGTAAATATAGTGAAATATATCTATAAAGATTAAGATTGGTATGATCTAAGATATATAGAAGAAAGTCGAAGAAACCGAGAGATGATAACGATCTCATTTTATTTAAAATGACGCCAAATTGGGAAAATCTTCCCGCTCTGCTAAAGAAAGAGAACGAGGAGCGAACAAATGGAGAGAAAAGATTGGAAATAAGTCTAGTAATTTGTAGAATCTTATATATTCTTCCTTTAGATTTAAAATGATCCCCTTACACTATAATTTCCATAAGTGAATTAATTATTTTACATAAAGATTTAAAATAAAAATTTTAAATCACAAATATTTCAGTCAAGCGTATGTCTCTCATTATAAAACAAACCAAAATAAGGATTTAAAAGTTTTAAAATCAATTTAAACATCATAAACTTTTTCATAATTTTGTGTAACATACTAAAACTTATATTTTATTGTGTTTTGAATCAAAATAATGAATAAAAACATTCACGTCCAATTATATCTATGGTTGTATGGTTACTACATCTATTTAAAACTCACAGTAATTAACGTTATGTATATTTAAAAACATAATTATAGCTGATGAATGGTTTAGAAATACCGTTAGGGATTTAAATCCCCTAGTAATATCTATTCAATGTTTTTAAAGTGCTTGTTAAAATTAGCAGCTATGTTAATAAAAAAATGATAGTATGCAATGTATTCACACTAGAGAAATGTAAAGATCACTATTTTCTCTTCTTTATTATCCAAATCATTTTTAAACTTTTAATACAGAATATTAGTTTTCTATTTTTATTCCATAAGAGACAGTATTCGTGTTTCTAGGTAGAAATTTTGCAGGTTAGTCGAAATCAAATGTGTAATAACCTGAATAATTTTACCACTTAACTAATTTCACTGAATAAGTAAGTCCCAGGGAGCTAGATTGGAAGAACACGGTGGGTGCGGAAACAATTTTAAGTAATTCATTTCGATTTGGTGGTTGTTGATGGGTCTTCCTTTCTAATTATTGATAATGGTCAAACAAAATATTTTGCCGATTAAAAAATACTGAAGGCAAAACCTTGCCAGCTGATGATTGCATAAATTCTAGCTTCGGGATTCTGATGGCAACTCTACTGATAGAGATTCAACTTCAAATGGATTAATGTTTCAGTCATGCAAAATTCATTCATTCAATTCATGCAAAACGGTGCTGAACACATTATCTTCTGATATTGTCAACTCATCTGCTATAGTATGCAGTTTAGGATCTGCGATAGTCCAAAATAATTTTTCTCCTGGCAACAGCCCAGACTGATTAATCTGGGACAACTGTCTAATTCTGAGACAACAGAGTTCAGCATTTGTGTTTGTAGCAATTAAATAAAGCAATGCTATTTAGACAGGTGAGCGACGATAATTTCTAAAGCATCTATTGTAACTTTTAAATCATATCTATATTTATTATTAGTGTCACCATCTGCATGCCGTGTAGTGGCCTATTGACTATTATATACATGTAAAAAAATCAATGTTGCTGTTGCTTTTCTGAAAGCATTTTTATGTCATCACATTAGCATTGTGAGTTTTGACATTGAGGTTTGACTTACTGAGAAAAAACTGGTCAATTTCACCTGTGAAATGTTAAGTTCCATAGAAAAAACAAATATTTTGTTGATCTTAAATGTTTTTTTTATTATAGAAGCGCTCAGAAAAACCATCTAAATTTAAATATCTTTGCAGTTTTTGATTAGTGTAACAAACATAACCTTATCTGTCTATACCAGTAACGTTTTTGTTAGATCGTTTATATACCAAGATAATTATCTTTTGTATAATATAACATGATCAGGTTTTAAATATATTGATGTATTCTCAATAATCCGGTTTTCATAAATTTCAATGATATGATGGTGGAACAAAAAATATAAAGTTAATTTTAACATAAAATGTAAGACTGAGTTCTAGGACTAATTAACAGATTGTTAACGTTTGATAAAATTTATTCTACAGAATAAACAAAGAATAAAGACAGAATAACTTACCCAAAGTTGCTGCTTTGTAACACTATGGTCTGTATAATACACTAAAGTCTCTCCAGCTAAAGGAGTGGATTCCCTGAATTTTGACGCTAATAATAAACACGTGGTTCCTAATAACTGTAGCTGGCTTTTCATTATTGAACAACACATTAAAAATCTGTCCATATAGTTCATTGCTAACGAAAAAACTTCATCCTGGCACTTTTGTTCCTCACACACCTTGAAGAAAAAAAAACAAGAAATATATTTTTGTTAAAAAAAATCAATAATTAATATTGTTTTTAACTAGAATAAACGAAACAACTATATAGTATTTATAATACCGTACGATAAGCCTTATGAGTCATCTACAATTGTTCTTAAAGATAATGCGTAAAAGAATTTACAAGCTGTGTGAAAGTCAAATTTCCATCAACCAGTTCGGATTCATAAATACTGTTGGTACGAGAGAGGCTTTGTTCTCAATACAAGTCTTATTCCAAAGATAGAGACGTCAATTATGACGTATACGTTTGTCTGGTTGATAACGACAAAACGTTTGAACGAGAACAGCACGCCAAGATGATGCAAAGAAGCAGGAATTAACCACCAAAATCTAAAAATAATTAGAAATCTTTATTGGAATCAGACCGCCAAACTAAGATTTGAAGGGGAACACACTGAATATGTGAAAATCATGCGTGGAGTAACGCAAGGCTTGTATTTTGTCTCCTCTAATATTCAATCTTTACTTTCAAAAATATTTATCGAAGCTTTGCACGAAACTGAAAAAGGCATTCTTCTAAATGGGTATCGGCTAAACAACATCAGATATGACACCATAGTATTTGTGGACAACCTAGAAGGCCTACAAGTCCTTATGAACAAAATCACGTATTACAATAAACGCCCCGGAGGCTGCTCCGGGCTGCCATATCTGCTATAATCAGCAGCTCCAAATCTGAGCTCTTCCTGCTATTCCGAACGTCTAATCCTCTAGTAACCTTATGATCTCACAGAAAGTCACAAGTCTTTAGAAGTACCTCACTCATTTGACTCGGTTGCTTAAAGGTCAAACCCAGGATTTGCCATCTGTGATAGGAAAGTGCCGGGCACTTCCAGAGGACCTGTGAGGAGGTTTCCTCCTTCTCATGACAAAAACGGCACCGTAAGCCATCCACGAATCCAAGCAGATGAAGGTGCCGCCTGAGTCCCTATTCGTTAACCCTATTGGTCAGCGCAACTTCAGCAAGTGCTCTCTTGCACTCAAGAACGGTCTTTTGGGCGCTTTCAAAGCCCTTAGCGCTGTTTGACTGTCAGAGCAGATATGGTCCTGTCTGAGAGATCCCTATCTATTATCTCCTGAGCACATACCAGAATCGCAATGATCTCAGCCTGAAAGACTGATGCATGGAGCCGAGTCTGGCTAGATTCAAATCCGATTCCGCCCCCATATACGGAGAATACCTAAGATCTCGTGGATTGAGCGAGTCACAGTGGAAGTCCTCAGAAGAATAAAGAAGTACTGGCCATTATCAAATCTCGAAAGGTATAATACTTCGGACACATTATGCGAAATGTACTATTAAGTACAGTTTTCAAGGTTCTAAAGTTTTCTTTCTTTCTAAAATCAAAAAGAACTGGTTTGTTATTTTTGATTTTTCTATCCATTAATATTTCTATACACTTTTGTACTTAAAGAGAACAGTTTACACCGGTTCGAACATAAACTACATGTCTCTTAATAATTCATTAATAAATTTGATTCGCTAATTAATGCAGAAACTTACCATAACGTCTCTGAGGGTAATAAATCACCACATAAATTAGAATACAAAGAAATCGCGGCTAAAATTGACCAATATGACCGAGGTCGAGTTATGTAAATTTTATATTTTTATAAAGTTTATATAAAATATTTGATGAGGAATAGCAAGAAGTCGGTTTTGATCTAAATTAACATCCATCGTGAAGTTTCTTCGTTAATTAAGGTCGTTGTTTACCGCTTTTACAGATAAACGTCAAAACAAAAATATAGTAACGAATTTAAAATACCGCATTGGTTGGATTTTTGGTCTTGACCAGTTTCAGGTTTCCTTTTAGGAGCTACCTGAGTTCTATTTATCCCCAAACACAAGGTCTGAATACTGGCTTCCTAAAATATAGGAAAGCGATCTACAAAAGGACAAAAAAGGCGACTTTATAGGTAAATGGCATCGAATTAAAACAAATCTCTTGTTCTTTTCCAATTTTCATCTTGAAATTATCCTCCACTAAAGTGGCGGCCGAATCTCAGTGGCTATGGTTCTGTTCGATCCCGGCAGAAAATAGAAATTTTTTAATTTCTAATTAAACCGAATCGTCACCGTTCTTTGAAGGGCAAGTAAATCTGTCGGTCCCGGATACGTAAGTAGTCTTTAATACTAAAAAATATGAGCCAGAAAGTTACACGAATTAAAGATATATGGTACTACCATATTTCTAAGACTTGTTAATTTTTAGCCCAGCAGGGTGCTATTGTTTGAAGTCTGAAATTCCATAAACGAGGGATACTTCCATAAAACAGGTAGATTCCTTGTTTATGGAATTTCACACCTCAAACAATACTACCCCGCTGAGCAGAATATTAATGAGTTTCTTAAGAAAAATGGTAGTACTATACAATAACCCAATTGACTGCAATACGACCGGTTTATAACAAGCTACTTCAGAGAAAAAACCTGGACTTGAAGTAAATGAGCAAAATTTGGCGCACTATGTGAGTTTTAAAGACTTTTCACAACATAAAAAGGACGGGAATCTACGAGGTATTCGAACGGAACATTGCAAAACGGAAGAGTTAAAGATGAGGACAGTAGAAGTACAAATAAAAGGATATGTAAATGTAATAAATATGAATTTTGGATGAAAAGATGTTTTCCGGCTCCAACAGCAATGTTGTATTTGTAAATTGATAAAACAATTTGATAATTGGTTCATTATAGATATGTATACAAAAAGAAAGACATCTATTTGTAATTAACTCAAGAATTCTAATGAGTAAGAATATTTTGCTTACAAAGCAATAATTTTGTGTCATTAAATTTTCAAATATTAGATTACGATTATTAAATGAAATAAATTATTTGGTCAAACGTCAATACACACGAAGAAGAAAAAGTAAAGAAAAAAAAGTTTTAAATGATTGATCAATTAAGTTTTTAAAATAATTACGCATAGAATATTTACCAAAGTTGAATATGTGGGAAATTGGCAATATGTATTTGTACCGCGTTGATTGAATCCCTCACCATAAACCCAAACAGCGATTGTTCCCAGTTTAATCCAGACTAAAATGTGGCAAGTGAAATTATAGTAGTAAATCGAAACATCTTTATTTCTAAGTGTCTACGGTAACATGTAACATTATAAATGTCACATGTTTTCTTCAAATAATTATTTTATTTCAATGCCTTTCGATCTTATTCATTTATTAACTTTCTCTTTACTATTTTTATTATAAAAATAGTTGGCGCTCAATTCTTCTATCAACTAAAATATTCTGTATAAATTCTAATTTTAATTTGTAATCGTTTAGATTCTATTTTATGCCATAGATTTATATAAAATGTCTATTATCTGCTCAAAGCGACAGTAACTTTCAGAGAGTAGTTATATTGTAACTGTGCTTTTAATTTTCCTAAAGAAAAAATTATTTCAATACTTCTACTGCAGGTTGGAACTATACTCGGTTTGGAAATTCATGATTTTTATAGATAATGATGATTTATTGGTCTATTTTTTCTTTTCAGAGACTTTAGCATGTTGTTTTCTTGTAGGCAATGAGTATAGGTGCTTTTTATATAGCTTTTTACTTTGATTTCGTTTGACAGCTAATTGTTCTTTTGGTTTATTTTCAATCTTTTATTTGGGTATGTAATCTGACCAACGTGTTATTTATATAATATTCATGAACTGCGTTTCATTTGGTTCTTTTATTTCATTGATTTGATCTCAAATTGTTTAATTAAAATTCTGATGGTACAACCTATATCGTAAATGAAAAACGTCAAACTCAAACTAGTAGTGAAGACTTATACAAATTTAATGCAAAGCTTTTATACAAATTTAATGCAAAAGATGCTTGATACTTTTATCGCGAAGGATAAAACAAACCGAAATTTTTATCTGCTAAAATTGCAAAATCTGACGTCATTACTGTTATATGAAAAAATAGCATTCATGATTATAACAAATAATGAAAATAATAACCTACGGAGACATATGCATATGCATGGTGTTATGGAAATCGTGTTTTTTAAGCCATTTAAATAGCAATTAAAATTACGGCGCCAGATTGCATTTTTAAAAAGGTAATAATTTCATAATTCGATGTCGACTCGTAAACTGAAATTTTCCCAGAATAAAAATAATATAATAGCATTAGTGATAAAAATAAACAAGAATAGGCGGTTATTATGCAATATTGAAATAAAACTCAATGAATTAGGTGGTTTTTAAAGTTTAAAAACCGAAAGTCAGACAAGCGTGACGTTTACTCTGGTGTAACACCTACAATAACTAATAATACACGAAAATTAGCATTTTTAAAAGGGCCTCTTTCCGGTAAGGAACACCAAATTCGATGTCTCTGTTCAAGGCCAGTGTAATGACCCAGAGGCGGACTTTAAACGTGGACACCCTCGCCAAAACAATTCGAACATTGATTCGAATCATCTTTTTTTATAATATGAAAGAGCTACAAATGATATATGGGTTAGGTCCACAAATTAATATCTTTTGGTGCCTCATATTATTTTCGGTTACAAGATTGTAACATTGTTCTCTGCATGGAAAACGTGTTATTAAATACAGATGTATCCAGTCCACTCATTTTCAAACTATTTTCACCAATCCGATTATCTTCTATATATGTATCATTCGGCCGCATTAGAATACTAAGTGTATCTTATTCATCTTTCCTTGAATATGACGAATTGTGAAATACAACAGCATAGCAATAGCGACAATATTCTATAAAAAGACCCATGAGAAATAAAACTTAAAATATTTTAGAAAAAACAAACACGCTGGTACAAACTAAGACAATTCAACAATCAAGACAATCTCCCAAAAAATAAAACTCATGAAATAAAGTAAAACTCAGTGGCTAGGTACTGACTTACAAAGCCAAATGATCGGGATTCGATCTCCGGTAGACACTAGAATAGAAAATTTTCGATTTCAGTTTAATTGAGCCGATACCGTGCTTCGGAAAGCACGTAAAGCCGTCGTTCACGATACGTAAGTAGTCATTAATACTTGGGCCAGAATGCACTAATGGAAGATGTACAATAAACTTATTGGCGGCAGTACGGCCGGTTATAATAAACGGTTTTCGAGAAAAAAAGATAAGTCAAGCCCTACAAATAACTGTAGATGAAATCATATGTATATATTTCTAGAACTTCGTAGAATATTCAAGGTGCTCAAGATCGGTTGCAATGTAATTATTTACGGGGGCCTATTTTCACAAGTGAACTCAAAACGGCTAATGATGAAGTAAACTAATCACTGGTGAGAAAAAGACAGTTTAATATGGGATACAACAGTTAAGTTGATTGTAAAATAAACAAGTTCAGATAAATAATTGAACTAAAGGGTTAAATAGATTGTATATCAAATTAAGAGAGTAATTTATAGTAATCTAACGATAGTCGTCCACAAATCGAATATAAGATAAATGCGCAAGTTTTAGTAATGGAAGCCAAGATCCGAAAGCATCCGAACAAGACCACCAAGAAGGCGGAAAAAACCTGTGCGTGATGTGGCTTGGAAACAAAGCAAAGTTCGTAACCGTCAAATGATTGTAGTTGAAAAATATTATTTGTTCTTCTGCAGTTTTTAGGTGTTTCTTAAACGATATAGAATAATAAGACTAAAAAGGACTAATATTGTAATGTCATTTAAAAAAAGTGAGTAAATTACACGCTACAAACTATTAATATTTTTAAAATGATTTCAGTTTTATGGCAACATATGTTAAGAACGGAAAAATCGTTAACAACTTCTTAGAACTGAATGTGATAAAACGCGCAGACAACGGAAAAGAAAATGAAATAATCACGTAGACAGGATGGACGAGACTAGAATTAAAAGCTACAGAGATCACTCACCAATAGCAAACCCCTACCAACTATGCAAATAGCCATGAGGTATTACGAGGTACATCATCATTACAAGAAAATCTTGATTAAATTTTATTTCAAACACAATAAAAAGTCCACAAAAATCAAACTAAACTGTTTTATTTAGCAAACTGGACTGAATTACAAAAGAATGACAGATGGTATTCCATGTACCAGACAATGTAGAAAATTTTAGTAAACAAAAAAGAAAGGTGGAACTTTTAAAGGGGTAGTCTAAGGGTGCGACAAGATACGGAAAATAGAATATGGGATTATTATCATGAATACAGTATGATTGTAATAAACAAAATAAAATTATCAAGGCACACAGGAAGATGAAATAAAACATTATGGAATTTATACAAACTACTTTCGTTTCATTTCAAAAAGAAAATCTTTAAAATAGAAAACTGATAGGCATTAGTTAACAAACAATGGGGAATTTGATCGTAATTCTACTTGTTAACTAGTTCATATCATATTATATTAATATACCTACACCTCTCATAATTATTGTAATAGGCGTGGTTAGCTTCATTTCTACTCATTTTTTATATCATTTTATAAATGAACCTGTATTATATACATATAACTCTACGACTCACAACTAAAATTGGTTCCAATGTAAAATCTAATAATTTTAACGAATTATAAAACTATAGTAATTTAACGTGCCACATGGGCAAGTCCACCGCTGATAAAAGGCCATCGTACTAATCCCGTCAATATGTACTATTATAGGTACATTTACTTCTAATTTAAATGCCCCCTCTTTAGTTGCTAAGTGCTAACCAAATTCACCAAATCATAGAATTCGATCATTAATATGGGCCTCCCGACAATTCGGACTCAGCTGTTGGCAAGTATATTGACCCTGTAGTTTAAATTGCTCAATCACGTCATTACCGAGCACAGCTTTTCGAAATAATCATTTGCGCAAAAAATACATAACCTTTTTTTCGATAAAATGTGATCATCTATAACGTGTCACTTTTATCGCGAGTCTCACTCAGTGAGATTCGTGTCGTCATGTATGGGGATTTAAATTTTAAATGGACGGAATAGATACACAATTTGGGATTTAAATAGACGAATTTAACTTTAAAAATAGAGATGTGGTGGCGAAATACACTTGTTCCAACAAGAATGTTGGTCAATGGAGAACACAGACCAAATAAATTAAAAATTAACAAAATAAAATGACAAAACAGAAATTTGTATGTTTAAAAAAAACATAGACTTAAAATCAGAAAGAACGGCTTTAACAACAAGTTTCATAAAAAGTTCCTAGCTTTAGTTTAATTTTATATTATGGAATTTTAATGGGTTTGTCCATTTTCCAATTTCGTGTAATTAGTATAACACATTTTATTAACAAATATAAATTATATTCAAAATCAGAGTACGCGAATTAAATGTATTTAAAATATCTGTTGAATAAAAAATTTAGGTGAAATGATAAATATTTAAAGATAAGCTTTCTTTGGTTTGTATAAGTTATCAAAAAGCAAATTTACCATAAAAAAATGTATAGGATTCATACTTCAAGAGTATGTAGAATAAGTAATAATTCTCATACCTGGAAAGACCAAAGCTACAATGTAGTTCAGGTGGATGATTGGGGGCTGCACAAAATTTTAAATACGAAAATTCAGTCTTACCTCCATCATCCACTCCGCAACTATCTTCCGCATCTCTTCAGTCACTTCTTTTTGAGTTTTCGCAAGAGAGGCGTTGAACGGCAACACGTATCTATCCTCGGTTTTGAGTAAATTTTTAAGTACTCTATCATGTAAAATTGTCGGGTCGTCGTAAGCTCGAACTTCATTTTCTGGCTTTTCGCAACAATACAAGTCCATGTTCTCCTTATACTCCTACTCCTCTCGCAATAATTCACACACACAAAACACACTTAACCTCAAAAAATATCACAACTTTTACTTATTGTCTCATCTGTAGTGTATGGTTCCCTTTAAATTTTGTGTTTAAAGCGCTATCAGCTGAGAGTTGTTGACTGTTCGCTGGTTTAGTCAGCAATGCAATCCATATGTTTTCGTCATTCAGCATAAAACTGATTCCCCCACTACGTACTAGGCGCCGAGCTTTAGCTTCAAGTACAACAGGTTCTTTACGGAGTTTCTTACTTAAGCATTGTTGCCAATGTTCGCTGATCTATACTTATGTTGGGGATTTTCTTAGAAATTAGTTTCTTTGGTTTAAAAATAAATTTTACTAGTTTTTAGGTTTTGTTTTATTATCTTGTAAAATGTATCATTTATTCTACACACTATTTATCAGTGTTTTGGTAAACCCAGATTTCTGTTGTCAATATGTTTACTCTTCATTCCGTTTTATGGGTCATTTAATCTTTCTACTTCCACTACTTTTTAATTTTTTCTACATCTATTCTCCAATTTTTTTTAGATTAATTTCTGTGTTCTTCCGTCACTTAATGGTTATATTATTTTTCTTAGATCATGGCTCTTATAACTCTTAAAATAATAGGACCTTTCACATCGATTTCCATATTTGATTTCATCAACCACACGCCTTTCGAAATATTTTTCACCACTTTCTGGTAGATTCTCACACTAACATGTTCTGTTTTTTTCCCAAATCATTTTTCGAAAGCTGGTAGTACTACTAATTAGTGGAAAGATACTGGGTTCTCGGGATACAGCCAGTTTTAGATTGAATTTTAATTTAACGTAATATTATGTTGAAAAATTACTATTAGTCTTATTACAGTTCTATAAGTTCTTATTGTTGCTTCTCTGAACATAGTTTTGCTTTTCAGGAGTGCTCTCAGAGTGTGAAACAATCCTCATTATTTATTTGGATCTATAACTCCATCTAAACATTTGTTATTTGTTTTCTGCGGTTAGTTTTTTTTTTCGAAAGCCGTTGTGGCTATAACCGGTCATACTGCAGCCAATTATAGATCTTAGACTGCTTACGTAGCCGGGACTGACGACTTACACGCCTAACATTTTTATTACACGCCTTTGTTGTTCACATATCTTTGTATTTGCACATATTTTTGAACTGGCGTTATAATACTTTATTTCTCGTAGTAAAATGCTGAGATAAGCGTCACAGAACTAGCACCACGAGAAGGCGTCACGGATAGCGTCACGAAATAGCGATTCTTAAAATGTATTCACTACTCTCGATAAATTCGTTTCTAGCCATCATATATTTATTCTTAGCAGATTTAAATGACAACCTGCATGAATAATAACCAACAAAATAAAGACATTAAATGAAAAGTAAAAATTAAAGGAATGGAACGGTAAAAATTTAAAAGTCATAAATGCCATTAAAATAATAACAATATTGCATCGTCTTTTCAAATTCTTATAACAGTTCTCGTTTTAAAATAATTTCATATAAATACAATATCGGATTTTTACAATTATCAGTTCGACCATTGTATTAAAGTGCGACAAAAAGAGTTATTAGTAAAACATTTTGAGATGAAATTTTCATATTTATACAGTCACATCAGACAGTTGGACGAATCCATTTATATAACGAGGGATAGTCCGTTATAGAAAATGTCGAAACTTCATAATTTGCCTTTTTTATTTTTGAAATGTTTTATAATTTGTACTTTAAAAATAAAATAAATTCCATACTCAAATTTTATTTTGAAACATCTTATTTAGTTGATATAGTAAATAAATTTATTATCAAATGATACTTATTTACATTTTATTATTAATTTAATGGTTAGTCTGACTTTGACAGACTGTCAGAAGTACACAATGTACGATTTGATGATACGTTAACAGGTAGCGTTAGGAGCAAACACAAAAATTTATTAAATTATTTTAATATAATGTAATACGTTTAAAATATAAATAATAGATAAAATTACTTTCTTTGATTTTAAATATTATTTAAAGGCCTGCTGTACTTCCTTTTTCTTTTTAGTTTTTCTCTACTTTGTTTTTGTAAGTTGTTGTAATTTATGTGGTTTATATAATTACGGATCTTATTGTTCTTTTGTACATATTTTTCTTATATTTGTGCCTTTCAACTTTTGTACACTTAATATAACCATTTTTTTTTGAATTATTTGGTTTTTTGTTCCCGTGTTACCATGGCCATATAGTTCAATGACTTGATGGCTTATTCTGACGAAGAGCTTCTTGAAATTACTCAAAAAAATCTTCTGTAGCTCTTTAGTTTATTCGACCGTTACATTGCTATATACTGTCCAAGTCGCACATCTCTGTCTCAAAAATTTCCAAGCGGACCTTACATATTTTTGTCTTAATATTCCTATTGCCTATCGACGCATCTGCCTCCATTTTGTTTTTGTTTCTCGACCTCTTCTTTGCTTTCTTCCTATCGAACCAGTTGCAACCTTTACATTTTAAATACAGAACTTTACATTTGTCATTATTTGGTAAGTCCTACCTCAACTATTCTTAAGGTATTGAAGTATTTTACACATTGTGATTAATTTGCAGTACTGAAACATTAGGCCCACGTTTGCTTAAAACTATAAAAATTGGCATAAACATGCATGTTTGAATTTGGTTATAAGTACTAATATATTTTCAAGTCGTAGTCAACGAAGATCTGCTAATATGAAGCAATACCTACATGAATACTGTTTTAGTATCATTTCTTTGCAATATGATTCACATTTCGATTTACCGGGTCATCTAAATCTTTTCATCGACCAAAAGATGTGCAAGAAATAATTTTGCATACTAAAAAAAATGACCGTCTGGTGCGTAGTTCCTAGAGGAGGAATTATTTTGCCATATCTCTAGGCAAAGATTGTGTAGTTACTAGTTACTGATGCAATCAAAATCGGAGGCACTTGCCTACTTAAGAAAATAAAAAACCTTTTAAACATGTGCCTTTTGAACAATAATATACCCGACAAATGGCACAATGCTGAGCAAATTCTATTGTACAAATAAAAGATCCACATGAATTAGAAAATTACAGACCTATAAGTCTTCTTAGTTACCTATACAAACTCCTTACAAGAATAGTTACGAATCGTCTTGAGAAAAAACTTGATTTCTACCAGCCAATAGAGCAAGCGGGATTTCGTTCTGGATTTGGAACAAATGATCACCTACAGAGCATTAAAACGATAATAGAAAAGGCTATCGAATAAAATTGACTACTCGTTCTGGCTTTTGTAGATTTCCATAAAGCCTTTGACACGGTAGAATTTGACAAAATCCTGGAAGCACTACAAGCATGCCGCATTGACTACCGATATACAAGGTTAATTTGTAATACATACAAGAACGCAACTATGTCGGTGAAACTGCATGAAAATACGGATCATATCTCAATCGGCAGAGGAGTCTGACAGGGTGATACCTTATCGTCTAAACTGTTTACCGCAGTACTAGAATATGCTTGTAAAAAACTTAACTGGGAAGAGAAAGGCCTGAACATTGACGGTAGGAAATTAACAAATTTGAAATTCGCAGACGACATAGTTTTGTTCTCGGACAACCTCAAAGAGATATGTACAATGCTACATGAACTTCAGTTAGTGTGTGCCAGTGTGGGTCTTAAAATAATCATCTCCAAAACAAAATTCATGACAAACCTAGTACCTAGCGGAAATATCAATATTGGAGACAACGAAGTAGATCTGGTGGAAAAATACATGTATCTTTTTTACACGAAATTAAGATCACTAGAGACCACCAAACATGCGAACTACAAAGAAGAATAAACCTAGCATGGACAGCCTATGGAAAACTCAAAGACTTTTTTAAAAGGTATATTTTTATGCAATGCAATAGCGATATATGCAATTTCTTTGAAACGTAAAACATTTGACCAACGTGTATTGCCTGTGATGACCTATGGTGCCGAAACTTTGACATTGACAGCTACAAGTTCTAAAACGCTGCAAATAGCTCAGAGGAAAATGGAAAGGACAATGCTGAGTATATCGCTTCATGACCTAGTTAGAAATGAAGACTTAAGACAAAGAACAGGAGTTATCGATGTAATTTCCCGAATTGCCACACTGAAATGGAATTGGGCCGGACACGTCGCACTATTCAGCGCTGAAAGGTGGACGAAGAAATTGCTTGAGTGGAGGCCGAGGTTAGACAAAAGAAGTAAAGGAAGACCCCCTACTCGTTGGACCGACGATCTCAAGAAAATGTCAAGAAATTGGATGAAAAGTGCTCAAGATAGAGAACAATGGACAAAATGGGGGAGGCCTATGTCCAGCAGTGGACGCAAAGGGCTGGGTAATGGTGATGATGATGACTTCATTGAAGAAGCTGGATGCTCAGCAACTATTAAGAATACAGAGCGTTATTTTCCTCAAGCGCGGACCGCGTAGAGGACCTTAGTTTTTAAATCTGGAATCTAAAAACCATTCAGGTGGCGGTCGTAGCTCAGTGGCTATATAGTGGCTTACCAAGTCAGGCAACCGGGGTTCGATCTCCTAACGGATACCAGAAATTTTTCAATTTCTAAATTAACTAAACCGTCACCGTACTTCGGAGTGCACGTAAAGCCGTTAGTCATGGTACGAAAGTAATTAACACTTAAACCTGAGCCAGAATGGAAGGTGTGCAATAAGCCAATTGACTGCAGCAAACATTTTCAAAAAAAAAACAGATCAGTAAGCGCTCGGGTAGCTATGTCGTTAACACGTGCTTCGCAAATGGCAGCTGACTTACAAAACTCAAAGATAAAGGCAATCTCGTTCTCGTCTCTCCCGGACTACAAAAAGAAGGAACTATACATTGTTCAGATACTAAGTGATAAGCTAAAAACACATTTATGACATGTACAAAATATCAAGAAATGTAATGATACTCAAGCAGTATAGACTAAAAGTACCAGAAAAATGGAACGCTCCAAAAATATAAACACCAGTGAAAGATAGATAGAAACAGATTCCTATTCTGACTCGTTTTTAGATGAATACTCGACACAACAAATAATCAAAAGAAGTCTAGAAAATATTAAAAGTACCACTAGAGCAATTCGATCACATAAACCTAATAGCTTGCTCGTAAAAT